TCACACCGTCTGAGGACTTTTTTCCTTGGCATACATCCCTAACCTACCTACCTCCACCTCCAACCCACGGAGCCTTTGATAGCCATCTCCTTCCTCTTTCTCCTTCCCCTACTGCCTCAGGATCCATTGATAGAGATATTCTTTCATAATTTGGGGTTGCTGCCAGGAATTGTGTCAGACTGCAGAGGGAGTAACTCCTCACCCACATTCCAAAATATAAAATCCCTTTATATTTTAGACAAGTCAGGTCAGGAATACATTGAGAAACTGCAGACGGTTAAACATATGTGTCTTCAGTATGGCTCTAGGCAGCCTATCTGGCTAAAATTGTCCAAAAAATTTAAGGACACTTGTCACATTAGAAGAATATGGTAAAATAGACATCAAGAATGCTTCCAGAAAATAAGCCCTTTTTGGTTCCACACTCCATACCAAGAGGAGCTGTTGGTGGGTTTTATTATTCAAGGAAAACCAATAGTGAATGCCTTTGATAGAAGGAAGTATCACCAAGTAATCCCCAGGGCCTAGAAGTCCACACTTCCAAGTCTGTGTCTTCCGATGTTGGTTCCCAAGTATACTGTGCATCAGGGCCACCTGGGGAGCCTGGTGAAATGAAGATTCCATAGACGTGGAGTGAACCCTGGAATCAACAGACACCTCAGTGTTTGGAATGCACAGTAAAGTTTGTAAAGCCTGCCGTAGGCCAAATGTTACATCTTAGTGCATTCAGAATTGTCCCATCCGTAGTTGGTCTGTAAGCAATCCTGTAAGGCCTCCAGCAATCCCTACCCCAACGTGCTCCTGCTTTCTCTTCAAGAAGAATAATTCTACCCTGATCCCTCCTTCCCATCTTTGGATCGTTCCAGGCCTGGTTCTTTCATGTGATTCTCCACCTGGATCACACACATGGAACATGAACCAGAAGGTCTCTTCTCCATTCCCGCGTACCCTGTCCCTTGAATTTGTTTTTCTTTTTTCTTTACTTCTCCTACCTTCTTTCTTTTAAGACAGGTTCTCTCAGCAGGGCGCAAGGCCCACACCTTTGGGAGGCCAAGGCAGGCGGATCACCTGAGGTCAGGAGTTCAAGATCAGCCTGACCAACATGGAGAAAGACCAACTTTACTAAAACTACAAAATTAGCCGGGCATGGTGGCGCATGCCTGTAATCCCAGCTACTCGGAAGGCTGAGGCAGGAGAATCACTTGAACACGGGAGGTGGAGGTTGCAGTGAGCCAAGATTGCACTCCAGCCTGGGCAACAAGAGCAAAACTCCATCTCAAAAAAAAAAAAAAAAAAAAAAAAAAAAAAAAAAAAAAAAAAAAAAAAAAAAAAAAAAAAAAAAAAAAAAAAGAGGTTTTTCTCTCTCTATCACCATTCTAGAGTTCAATGGTATGATCATGGTTCACTGCAGCCTCAACCTCCAGGCTCAAGTGATCCTCTTACCTCAGCCTCCCAAGTAGCTGGGACCACAGGCATGTGACACCACACTTGGATAAATTTTTTTTTAATGTTTTTGTCGAGACAGGAGTCTCAGTATGTTTCCCAGACTAGTCTCAAACTCCTGGACTCAAGGGATCCTCCCCCCTCAGCTTCACAAAGTGCTGGGATTACAGGCATGAACACCATATCTGGCTGTCCCTTGAATTTGCCCTCTGAAAGATATTCTTGATTCTGAAACTTTTCCTCCCTTCCCTTAACTGCACCCTGTGTTTCACTAAATGAGTGGAAAAGTGGAAAGAAATTACATTTGTTGTACTTCTTCTAGTGGCAGGCACAATGGGAAGCTCTTCACACATGCCTTTTCTTCACTTATCACTTATCAAGGTCCCTTATAGAAAACAGTCAGAGAATTTAAGGTTTAATTGATTAAAGGTGTCAACTATTAGATACTATGACAAAATTTGGATTTGAACACAGGAACTGTCTGGTTCCAAAACCATGACTTTTTCCAGTATACTTCATGCTTCCAAAACATATGACCAGCCTTTTCTGTACACATGCTAATCCTATCCGTGTACCAAAGCCTCATGATTTGTTCCCAAAGTTACTATATGTTTTATGTAAGTTTTTTGCTCTAATGAGATTAGACTAGAAACAGTCTTTCAAAAATGAAAATAAAAAAGAAGCAGTCTCCTGTTATCACTTTGAGAAAGATTTGATATTTCTCAAAATTCAGTGGTATCAGTAAGGTCGGGATTTGCAAATGGTGTGCAGTTGATATATAACTAAAGCCAGAGTTTCAGTGTTGCATTCACTTTCCAGAAAAAGAGCTCAGCATAAAATGCAGCTAATAGTAAGGTTTTGTTTGGGTTTTTTGCATAATAAAAGTCGTAACTGAGCAACATTAGCTACAGACACTCCTCCCCATAAATCCATGGAGACTCTGTGAAAAGCATTTCAGAGGAATACAAACCCCAAGTAGTCTTTGGCAAGGGGTAATTTGCCATGATGATAGTTAAATAGGGAGAATACTGAGTAGCTGGCTACAAAGAAGCATCTGAGAGTAAAACTAGCTATAGTTGAAGTCCCTCAATTGAAAATGAATGTAAATTTTCTCACATGTGGCAGCCTAAATTGGTCTCTTCTGTTTGTAAGGCAAATTTGGCAATGAATACCAAGGAGTTTAAATCATAAGCTTTGAGCTAATAATCCCACTCCTAAGTATTCGTTTCAAGAAAATAATTCATAAGATGAATACAATACATATTTTTTATAACAGCATCATTTATTTATAACTGGCAAGAAACTGGAAGCAACCTTATTTTCCAATAATAAAAGAAAGGTTGAGTACATTTTGATATTTTAATTCTTTGAGTTATTATGCAACCATTAAAAAGACGATTACAGTGTACAAACAAAAAAAGAGTATTCAGTGAAGGGCATAGAAACAAAATATAAATATGCAGTGATTACAGACATGCAAATACACAAGCTGATAAAGACTAAGAGGGGAAACAAAGAAACGAAAATATTGATGTCAGTTTGGTGAGACTACAAGAGTCTTTAAACATTAAAATTGTTTCCTTTTGTAGTGACCATATTCAGTTTTTTAGGGGTCGTTCTTCTTTTTCCAGATGTGGTTTTTATAGAATTATGTTTTACATTTTTTCCATCACTGGAAGAAAAAAAAGAATTATGTTTTATAATTATTTTTGGTCAGAAGATTATTTTACAAAACTACATATGGAATATTCCAGCCAATTATGAACTATAGAGAATTACTAATTCAGAAATACTAATACTATTGTTTTAATTTGCAGTGAAGGGAATTTGGCTACAAAGCAGATCGTATTCCTTCAGAGGCCAGTTATGTGGAATTCAGCTGTTCAAACACCAGATGTGAGTAAAATTGATGTTTTATTAACTGAATGTTATATTGAAGCATTTAATCCTTAAACTCTCATTGTAATTCCAAATGAGGAAGCATGGACATGATATGGTAACAGTCCTCTGAACCAACCTATAAGGGAAATGTGCTAGCAATCAGGCAACATGAAATAGTTCCAAAGGGGATTCTAATATGCCATCTCAAAATATGCCATTTTTGCATGAGGATTATTTTGAGCTGAAGGCAATTAAGAAACAGCAGACACAGGGGGAACTCTCTGTCCTCTATCTTTCTGCTGAAAAACAGGGCATATATTTCACTTTATAAAGGTGACGTAAATTTCCATTTATAAAGGTGTCTAATCACCAGAGACAATTCCTACTGATAAGTCTGCAAAAACAAACCTTACTAAAATAAGCTTGATCTTCCATTAGTTTACCCCATGTATTTGCCTTCTCACAATTTACGTCCCCAGAAACCCAAACTCCTTTTCCTTTGTCTAGTCACCTGTCCACAACTTATCACCCTTTGTTAAAATGGTATATAAACTCCTAGATCTTCTACACCGAACTGCCTCATTGAGGTTTTGCTACTTTTCTGTGAAGAGACTGTGTGCATTGAAAATAAACCTTTTCTCCTATTGATATGTCTTTTGTCAGTTTAATTTGTCGTTCTCAGCTACTGAACCTAAGAGGATAAAGGAACAGTTTTTTCTGCCCCTGCCGTTCTAAATCTTGTGAATGTGCCTGATCTTGCAACACATCCATGCAACCCTTGGCTATCTTGACCTTTGGCAACACTTTTCTTTTATATTATCTTCTCAAGTCTGTATTTTTTCAGCACTTTGCTGAAGGGCTATTCTGAGCCTCAAGTGACCTTGTTCTTACTGGATGCACAGCTAGAATACAATGATTGAATGAGGAAATCTGGGTATTAATAAAGCATAACTTGCAAAACAAGAAATTTGCAAATGGACCAGAAAACTATTTAAAGTGATTCTTTTTTTGTACCTAAATCAAGAAAACACTGTTTTATGTTTTGGGGCAAAGCTGCAGATATTTGAAAAAATAAAACATTATTTAGTAAATTTTAAAGTTATCTAAACTATCAAAGAGCTAGACTGACTTTGTGTATAATACAGCCATGTTAAATTGTCTCACATTAATTTTGGAAAGAGGCTGGCTAGCTCAGGAGGTAAATAGGTAGATAGGTAGAGAGGTGGATGGGAAGATGGAGAGGCAGGAGAATAGAATGACCAAGTACACGGATATTAGAAAGATCACATTAAAGCCCGCAGGTGAGCACTGCACTCCTCCACAACAATGAGATTTACTCAAGTTCATTTTATTAAGAAATATTCTGGGCCGGACGCAGTGGTTCATGCCTATAATCCAAGCACTTTGGGAGGCCAAGGTGAGTGGATCGCCTGAGGTCAGGAGCTCAAGACCAGCCTGGCCAACATAGTGAAACCCCTTCTCTACTAAAAATACAAAAAATACACCCAACTGGGCAGGGTGGTGGGTGCCTATAATCCCAGCTGCTTGGGACGCTGAGGCAGGAGAACTGGTTGAACCCTGGAGTGGGAGGTTACAGTGAGCCGGATTACGCCATTACACTCCAGCCTGGGCAACAAGAACAAAATTTCTTCTCAAAAAAAAAAAAAAGATTTCTCTTCACCATCTTTTCTCTTACCGGGGAGCCGCTGCCATGAAGTTCGAGCTGTGCAGTTTCAGCGGGTGCAAGATCTACCCCGGACACGCCAGGACCGACGGGAAAGTTTTCCAGTTTCTTAATGCAAAATGCGAGTCGGCTTTCTTTTCCAAGAGGAATCCTCAGCAGATAAACTGGACTGTCCTCGACAGAAGAAAGCACAAAAAGGGACAGTAGGAAGAAATTCAAAAGAAAAGAACGCACCGAGCAGTCAAATTCCAGAGGGCCATTACTGGTGCATCTCTTGCTGATGTCATGGCCAAGAGGAATCAGAAACCTGAAGTTAGAAAGGCTCAGTGAGAACAAGCTATCAGGGCTGCCAAGGAAGCAAAAAAGGCTAAGCAAGCATCTAAAGAGACTGCAATGGCTGCTGCTAAGGCACCTACAAAGGCAGCACCTAAGCAAAAGATTGTGAAGCCTGTGAAAGTTTCAGCTCCCCGAGTTGGTAGAAAAAGCTAAGCTGGCAGATTAGATTTTTAAATAAAGATTGGATTATAACTCTAAAAAGAAAAAAGAAAAGAAAGAAAGAAAGAAAGAAAGAAAAATATTCTGTCTAAGCCATGCACAAGGGCTCACACCTGTAATCCCAACACTTTGAGAGGCTGAGGTGGGAGAATTACTTGAACCCAGGAGTTTGAGACCAGCCTGGGAAACATTGGCAGACCCTGCATCTACAAAAAAATAAAAAATAAATTAACCAAGCATCGTGGCACATGCCTGTAGTCCCAGCTACTTGGGATATAGAAGTGAGAAGATCACTTGAGCCCAGGATTCAGCACTGCAGTGAGCTGTGATAGTGCCACTGCATTCCAGCCTGAGTGAGAGTGAGAGCCCGTCTCAAAAAAAAAATGAATAAATAAAAGACATATTCTGCCTAAAAGAAGCAAAGGTGGGAATATGTAGAGAATGGCCAGAAAAAGTTGTCCTTTCTTTTTTCCCCAAAGCAAACTTCTCATCATGTCATAATCTCTTTATTTTTTCTTTCTTTTTTTTTTTTTTAACATTCTACAAATGGCCATTATTTTTAGGAAAAATCATCAGAATTCACAGCCTCATGGAGTTTTAATTTACTGAGGGCCATGAAGTTGTGTTTGTGAAAATATAAGATCAAAATCCAGCTACTTCAGAGTCACTTTTACTTAATATTAGATATCAGATTTTTAATTTCCTGAAAATACTTAGGCTCTTTTTGTTTATCATATTTTACTTTTTTATGTGACAGGGACTCCCTGTGTTGCCCAGTCTGGTCTCAAACTCCTGAGTTCAAGTAATTCTTCCACCTTAGCCTCCCAAGTAGTTGGGTTACAGGTGCTCACCACTGTACCCAGCCCTTTTTTGTTTAACTTTGATATATCCAGTAGTGTCTAGTCGTAACTTTTCTTTGGGTAATCTTTATATTTCACTGTAATATAAAATTACTGGTTCATTTACATAATGGGAAGTAAATAGAGTTGACTTGTATCAATGACAAATCTAATAATAATTATCTTATAACTTACAATACTGCTTCTAAATGGATTTACTATTTCTTCATTTGACAAGTGTTTAATTTTTCTAGTAAGAAATCTCAGGATCTTGAGAGTATTTCAGGGCAGAACAGCTTAGGTAGGAGCCAAAGTGTCTAACAGCTATAACAGAAAGCTGATATGGAAATTCTTTCAGTTTTAACATAAGGAAATAATTTCTTACTATACTTCAAAATGGCAGTAATACTCTTGGGAAAGTAAACTATTAATATCACTACAGAGTTAATTTATTACCAAAAAATTAATTCAGCTATCTCATATATATTTATGAAAGTTGTATTTATAATATGCCTTGAAAAAATTTATGCAGTCAGAGATCCATAAAAGCACTCTTCTTTGTTAATACTTTGAAATCAGTTATTGTTTGGAAAGGGTTGATGGGGGGATTGCTTCATTTATAAAATATTTCAAAGAATTTTTTCAAAGATGTTTAGCTTTAAAAACAGTTGCTAGATATTTCAGACATTACAAGTGTTGTCCTAGGATTGTCAGTGCATTTTCATTAAACAATAAATTTCATGGGGAGTCTGACCTTTGAAAAAAATTTCTCTTGTTTCTTTTACTAAGACTAATGTCAAGAAATATAAGACTTTTTCTATCCAATTTCACTCACCACGGAACAGTACTGTTACATTCAACAAACCCATTTCATGCCCTTGTTGTGGAAGAGGAAATTGAGAATTGCACAATGAAGAAAGCATATCATTGGAATGTTTTCTTCTGAAGTTATGGAGACCTTTACTTTTGGAATTTGTTTTATATTTCACAGATATATCTTATGCAATATTCTAGATACTTGCGAATGTTTTTAAACATGAAAAATGTCATTTCAAAATATTTAGACTCATTTACTGCCTCAGTTTTCTCTAAGCTATTAAGAGATAATTCATTTTAGTAAAACTAGAAAACTATTAGGGAAAAAACATAGGAGAAAAATCTTCATAAAGTGGAGCTAGGCAGAGTTTTTAGGAGCCAGGTACAGTGGCTCACACCTGTAATCTCAGCATTTTGGGAGTCTGAGGCAGGAGGATCACTTGAGTCCAGGAGTTTGAGACCAGCCTGGTCAGCATGGCAAAACTCTGTCTCTACAAAAACTACAAAAATTAGCTGGGCATGGTGGTGAGCACCTGTAATCCCAGCTACTTGTGGGGGTAAGGTGGGGAGATTGCTGGAACCTGAGAGGTTGAGGCTGCAGTGAGTCATGATCACACCACTATACTCCAGACTGAGAAACAGAGTGAGAACCTGTCTCAAAAAAAAAAAAAAAAAAAAATTTTTTACACAGAACACCAAAAGCATAATGTATTTAAAAATTGAAAAAGAGACTTCATCAAAATATAAAACTTTCGTTCTGTGAATGACATTGTTAACAGAAGGAAAATACAAGCCATAAACTGAGAGAAAAAGACTCAGAGATTATATACATAGCAAACGATTTTACCCAGAGGGTATCAAGAAAGGACTCTTACAATTCAGGAGTAAGAAAACAATTTAGTTAAAAAATAGTTAAAAGACTGGAACACCTCACCAATGAGGATATGTAAATGAGAAATAAATACATGAAAAGATATTTCAATCACTAGTCATTAGGGGTGTGCAAATGCAAACTCATAATGAGATATCATATACCTGTTAAAATGGTTAAAATAAAATATAGTGACAATACCAAGAACTAGGGAGGATGAGTAGCAATCAGGACTCTCATACACAGCTGCTGGGGATGCAAAATGGTATATCCACTGTGTTAGTCCGTTTTCACGCTGCTGATAATGACATACCTGAGACTGGGCAATTTACAAAAGAAAGAGATTTAATTGGACTCACAGTTCCTGAGTGGCTGAGGAGGCCTCACAATCATGGTGGAAGGCAAGGAGGAGCAAGTCACATCTTACATGGATGGTGGCAGGCAAAAAGAGAGCTTTTGCAGGGGAACTCCATTTTTAAAACTATCAGAACTTGTGAGGCTTATTCACTATCATGAGAACAGCATGGGAAAGACCTGTCCCTCTGATTCAATTCCCTCCCACTGAGTCCCTCCCACAACACATGGAAGTTATGGGAGCTACAAGATGAGATTTGGTTGAGGACACAGAGCCAAACAATATCATCCACCCCGGGAAACAGTTTGGCAACTTCTTATGAAGTTACAGACACTTACCATATGATCCAGCAGTCCCCTTCTTGGGTGTTTACTCTAGAGAAATAAAAACTTACATTCACACAAAAACCCTACACACAAATATTTGTAGCAATTCTATTCATAATCACCTCAAACTGGAAATAACCCAAATGTCTTCAACAAGTGAATGAATAAACAACAGTGGTACATCCATACAATTAAATACTCAGAAATAAAAAGGACTGGGCATGATGATTTACATCTGTAATCCCAGCACTCTGGGAGGCCAAGATAGGTGGATGGCCTTCAGGCCAGGAGTTTGAGACCAACTTGGGCAACTTGGGACCCTGTCTCATAAAAAAAAGTAAAATAAGATAAAGTCTGTTTCTACAAGTAAAACATAAAAATAAATAGGAATAAACTTACTGATACACATAACTTGGATGAATCTCAAAGGTATTTTGATGAATAAAAGAGCCAGCCTCAAAATATTACAGACTGTATAATTCTATTTAAATGACATGCTCAAGAAGACAAAACTACAGTGTAGAGAATAGATCAATTGTGGCCGGGCGCGGTAGCTCACGCTTGTAATCCAAGCACTTTGGAGGCCAAGGCGGGCGGATCACCTGAGGTCAGGAGTTCAAGACCAGCCTGACCAACATGATGAAACCCTGTCTTAAAAATAAAAGAAAAGGAAAGAAAAAGAAAACACGAAAGAGAGAAAAGAAAGAATAGATCAATCGTTTCCAGGGATTAGGGCTGGTGAAAGGGTGTGATACAGGGATATATAGAGGAGTGTTTTGGGGTGGTGGAACTGTTCTGTGTCGCAAATGTGGTTAAATCTATACACATATTAAAATTCGTAGAATTGTACATCCCAAAGTCACTTTTACTGTATGATAATTTAAAAAATAAAATGTCAAAGAATCATTTGCTCTTTAAATTGCCTATACTATATTTTTTGTGTCTTTATCCTTCAGTGAAGACTGTCCTTGGGTCATGGAATGCTTATGAAGCTTAGTGAAGTTGTTAACTTCTCTTTTCTCTGTGTGGTGTCGAAAGGTCAGGGTCTTTTTATCTTGCTGTTCCTTTCATCTATTTTTATGTTTCTTTATTTTGGGGAGAGGCCTCTAAATGGATTCAAGGAAATGATAGCTATGCTGAGTAGGGTAAAAGACTCTAATCAGGACTTTATCTCCATCTGTTAAATGTGCTTTTCAAGTTTTCTTCCAAAACCTTTCGTAATTTTTTGTTTCTTTTGAAGACTCAAATAAAACTCATCAGATTTTTTGTATTACCTAAAAGTCTCTATTTCAGTTAAATTTTTGAGTCCATACTTCCCCTTGATACTTATTTACAAGAGATAAAAAGTCACTTAAAGAATTTGATTGCCACTAACTCAGAGTCAGGTTCTTACTCGGTAGTCTCCAGAGTAGACAACAAACTCTGAAAGGGATTCCAGGGACCTGGAGGGCAGGGAGAGACACAGCCTCGGCTACACTCTCCAAGCCCCCATTTCCTCATCTATAAAATATGGCCAACATTAGGACATGCCACAGGGCTCCTAGGAGAGTCAGTTAGAAAACATATGTAGATGTGTCTGGCACAGTGCCTAGTAATATGAGATGTTGCTAATTTTTCATGGGAATATTTTTCTTTCAATACCAGATGATTAAGCACTACTAACTATATGGAGAAACTGAAGAAAAATCTGGACACTACAAATGAGCCTCCATTTTCTCCAGCTAAAAACGACGTTCAGCTAGTAGAGAGAAGAGCAGTGGGCCAGTCATGGTGGCTCTCACCTGTAATCCCAGCACTTTGGGAGGCCAAGGCAGTTGGATAGCTTAAGCCCAAGAGTTTAAGACCAGCCTCAGCA